CCCATGAGGGCTCTTCTGTCCAGCTGCACTCTGGAAACACGTGGTCATTTGGCCCGTTTGGAGAGATGTAATCAGGGTCCCCTAGTGGGACATCTGCTCCCTTCCCCATTCCAACTGGGTCCCCTTTCACATGTTTCCAGGCACACCCACGCTGACCAACGCAGGCACGTAAACAGCAGAGCTCATGAGCTCAGGCAGAGTGAGAGGGAGGGGGTCATTTCCTGAGGGATAGTTTGGGTGGGTTTAAGGGGTGGGAGAATGGTCAGGAGGGGAGATGGGCTGACGCAGCTTCTCCAAGCCATGCAGGAATCCAAAGAAAACACAACCGCAGACAGGAAGAGGGAGGAGGGAGCCAGGCTGCCCATGTTGACATCTTGGGCTGAAATCCAACTTGGTATTCTGTGGTCAGCAGGGCCTGTGTTTACTCACTTCAACCAGTTACTTCCTTTGTCTGCGCCTCAGTTTCCCAATTAGAGCTACTTCAGAGTAGAGTGGTTAACAGCATGAACTCTGGCACTAAGCTGATTGGGTTTGACTCACAGATCTGCCACCTACTAGCTCTGTAACCTGGAGCTAATTACTTAACTTCTCTGGGCCTTGGTTTCCTCTCTGTAAAATAGGGGTGATGATACCTACCTTATAGAATGTTATGCAGTTTAAGCGAGTTAATGTTTGTAAAGCTCTTTATAACATTTTTAAACAACTAGTTACCACTAATTATCAGAACCACTTGTTGTGCCCTTTGGTTTGTGCCAAGTACTAGTGCAACACTTTGTACACTTTATCACATGTAATCCCTCATTGCCACCCAGGGAGGTTGACAAGGACAAGACCATCCCCATTTTACAGATGCGGAAACTGAGGCTCAGAAAGTGATTTACTTTTTTATTTACTTTAGAACAAAAATCAAAACCAAAATCATTGCCGTCTTGTCAATTCCGAATCCTATCAACCATATAAGACAGAGTAGAACCGCCCCAGAGAGTTTCCAAGGAGCAGCTGGTGGATTCAAACTGCCAACCTTTTGGTTAGCAGCCGAGTTCTTAACCACTCTGCCACCAGGGCTCCTACTTTAGGACAGGGGTCTGCAAACTGCGGCCCAGCCCATGGACTAAACCCAGTGAGCAGCGTGTTTTAAGTATTGTCTATGGCTGCTTTTAGGGTCTCTATGAGTCGGACTCGATGGCCATGGGTTGTTTTTGTTTGTTTTTTATGGCTGCTTTTGCACTACCAAAAAAAAAAATAAAACAACGTGTACTTCTGTTTCATGAGAAACTATTTGTTCTGTAAGCCTTCACCTGAAGTACAATAAAAAAAAAAAAAAAACCCCACAATGAAGTAGCTATGAATTGCAATCAACTTGATGGCACCCAACAACAACATGGCTGCTTTTGTGCTACAATGGCAGTTAAGCAGCTGTGACAGACTATAATCCATTGCCATCGAGTTGATTCCGACTCATAGCGACCCTACAAGACAGAGTAGAACTGTCCCGTAGGGTTTCCAAGGAGCAGCTGGTGGATTCGAAATGCCGACCTCTCTGGTTAGCAGGCGTAGCTCTTAACCACTGTGCAACCAGGCCTCCAGACAGACTATAGGGCCTGCAAAGCCTAAAATAATTACAGTCTGGCCCTTTAGGGAAAAAATTTGCTAACCTCTGCTCTAGAAAATGGCAGCAGGATTTGAACCAGGTCTGTCTGGACCCAAAGCACTTAACTGCTTTGCTGCCCTCTTTTTTGTTTGTTTGCTGTGCCTAGTGCATAATAGAGGCTAAAAAAGTGTTCCTTTCTGGTCCCTTTGAGGGCTGGGACCTCCCCTTCCCTCTTCAAAGCCAGAAGGGAAAGCAGGAAGGATTCTGAGCCCTTGATCCCTTAAGCCAAGTGAAGAGGACTTGAGGGACTGCCAAAGCCCGTGCTAGCAGCCCATCCGCCAGCATCAAGCAACAAGCTTTTGGGAGAAGGGAAAGCCCATGTGACGGAGAGGTGAAGCTGAGTAGGCAAGTCACTGAAACTGGGAACTCTCCCAGCCCAGCTCAGGGCTGTGCATAGAGTCATTTGGGCTGAGGTTAGCAAGGCACAGAGTTCATAAGGAATGAGGAATGCGGTACGTATTGCCTGCTCCCCAGGGCCATGCAAGGGCTCCAAACCTGTACAATTACTCCACACGTTATTATTATCATTCAGTACCTACTCTGTGCCAGGTACTGTTTTAGGCACTGAGGTGACAGTGGTGAACAAAACCCCAGCTCTCATGGAGACAGACAATAAACAAAAAAGCAAGAACATCTTAAGTGGTAGTAAGAACTATAAAGAAAATAAAACCAGGCTGATGTGATTGAGAATAACTGATAGGTTGGCAGGGAGGGCCTCTCTGAAGAATGTGTATTTAAGCTGAGCCTGGAATGACCAAGCCAGCCATGGAAAGATCAGGGGGAAAAGCATGTCAGGCAGAGGGAATAGCAAATACAAAGGCCCCGAGCGAGAAGAACTTGCGTGTTCAAGGCAGAGAAAGGCCAGTGGGGCCGGAGCAGAATGTAAAATGGTGAGGGTTGGGGGAGAGGCCCAATGATGGCTCGATGATGCCAATGATTGTAGCTAGCATTTTTTGAGCCCTAACTAAATGCCAGGTGCTTATTAAGCCCTTGAAATGCATTAACTCACTGACTCCTCACGAGCAACGCTAGGAGGGAGGTACTTTGATTATCCTCATTTTACAGATGGGGAAATGGAGGCCCAGAGAGGTTAAACCACTGGCCCAAGATCACATGGACACATTTAAAATCCACTCGGCCTGTTGTGGGGACAGTGAATTTCAGGGGACAAGACCCTGTAGGGGATAAAAACAATACAAAGATGGAGCCTGCAAGTCAGTTTGGAAAACGAGAGGAAAGAAAACTAACAGCCACCAGTGCTCTGCTTGAGCCAGGCTCCAGGAAGGCCGAGGGTTACTGGAGTTCAAAGAAATCTCGGGCCAGCACTTAAGCACTTCCTCCACGGGATGCCCTTAGCACTTTCTCTGTTCCCCTCTACACCCTTTCTGCCTTGTTTGCTTGTGGTTTGTGCCCCTGGTCATAATGTTGCTGTCGTCATGAGGTGCCGTTGAGTCGGTTCTGACTCACAGTGATCCTACATACAACAGAATGAAACGCTGCCCAGTCTCATGCCAGCCTCACAATTGTTGCCTGTTTGAGCCCATTGTTGCAGCCACTGTATTCATCCATCTCGTTGAGGGTCTTCCTCTTTTTCACTAACCCTCTACTTTACCAAGCATAATGGCCTTCTTCAGGAACTGGTCCCTCCTGATAACATGTCCAAAGTAAGTGAGATGAGGTCTCACCATCCTTGCTTCTAAGGAGCATTCTGGCTGTACTTCTTCCAAACCAGATTTGTTTGCTCTTCTGGCAGTATTCAGTATACTGAATATTTCTTCACCAACACCATAATTCAAAGGCATCGATTCTTCTTCAGTCTTCTTATTCATTGTCCAGAAATTCAAGCTGGGTTTGGAAGAGGACATTGAACAAGGGATATCATTGCTGATGTCAGATGGATCTTGGTTGAAAGCAGAGAATACCAGAAAGATGTTTACCTGTGTTTTATTGACTACACGAACACATTCAACTGTGTGGATCATAACAAATTATGGATAACATTGCAAAGAATGGGAATTCAGAACACTTAACTGTGCCCATGCACATCACATACATGATCCCATTTAATTTATTCTTCCAACAACCTTAAATCGTTGTTTCTATTTTAGGATGAGGAATTAAAGCTCAGAGTGCTTAAGGAACCCATCCAAGGTCATATACCTAAAAATTGGTAGCACAGGGATTTGAACCCTGGTCTGTCAAACACAAGAATCTAAGCATCTAGCTATTAGGCTGTAAAAACTCACCTCCCACTCTTCCATGAACAGTCTTTGGGTTTCCCAAGAGCGAAGTCTTTAACAGGATTATCTTTAACTCTAGTGTTCTGTTAAAGGACGTTCATAATAGTACTGACCTCACAGGGTCGCTATAGGGGCGCTATGAGTCAGAATCCAGTCCACCGACAACAGGTTTGCATTTTTTTCCCACAGGTTGTTAAGGTTAAGGCGGCCTGGTGGCTGGCGCAGTGGTTAAAACGCTCTGCAATAGAAAGATGTGGCAGTCTGCTTCCGTAAAGATTTACTGCCTTGGAAACCCTATGGGGCAGTTCCACTCTGTCCTACAGGGTTGCTATAAGTCAGAATTGACTCAGTGGCAAGGAGTTTGGTTTTTGGTTTACAAAGGTTAAGTGAGTTCAGCTAGATCTAAGGCGACCAGCTATCCTGGTTTGCCTGAGACTGAGCGGGTTCCCAGGAAGGGGATTTTCAGTTTCAAAACCAGGGACGATGAGAGCTTGGTGCCCAATACGTGCTCAATGAACATTGACCATTATTGCTTCTCCTTTCATCCATTTGACAATAAAAAACCCACTCTGCGCCCTATCCTAGGAGCTGGGAATACTGTAGGGGGTAGATGGAAGGCACTGTGCAAGCACCTAGCTTCAAGGGTGCACCAGGAAAAATCCACAGGCCCTCAGAAAACACTAACCTTCCCTCTGGACGTGACTCTGGTCCTTGCGGCTGTGTCCTCACCTCCTGGGTTGCAGCATATACTTGGATCCAAGTGGGAGAGGCTTCTGAGCCTTTAAGGTCCCCAGGTAGCAACACACAGACAGCTGGGGGCCCCAGCTAGAGAAGACAGACAAGGAGAGGTCTTGACATGATTGTGGGTCGACGGAAAGGAAAAAACGTGCCTTGGGCATTGACTTTTGCTTTGCCTTGGGCTGCAGTAAAGGCCTCAGAGGCAGTTTCTATTATCATGCCCATTTTGCTTGATGAGGAAACTGAGGCTCAGTGCCCAAAGGGAAGTGATTTGCCCAAGACCACGCAGGAAGAGATGGGCAACTGAGATTTGAACCAAGGCCCGGCAAAGGAGGGACTCTTGGGGCGGGACGGCGGCTCCTTGACTTCCCTCTCTCCAGCCCTGCTGGGGTACCACATTTGTCTCGTTGGCGGCCGGGCTTATCACGGGCCCACTCCGTGCAGCCCTCTCCACCTCCTGGCTGCCAGCGTCCCGCCCTGTCCCCTCCCAGCCCCAAGGGAGGAGGGGAGAAGAAGAGAGAGAAGGGGGGCCGGGGAGGTCCGGCTTTATAAAGGCGCTAGAACCGCGCTGCCAGCCAGACCCTGCCGCCGGGATCCCAGCGCTGCCCGTCGCGCACGTGACCGCGCCGCCCCCAGCTCCCCGGCTGCGTGAGTTGAGGCGCGTCCCTGTATCGCCCCCCAACCTCCACCCCAGACCCTCGTCGAGTCGCATGGTCTACTGAACCTGGGATGGGGAGGAGAACCGATGGAGGAGGGTGCCGAGATGGGGAGCACCAGGCGGGATCATGCACGGCAGGGTTTAGGACCTGGGGGAGCAAGGCGACCCTGGAGCCCGCGGGCCGGGGGCCGCTCCCTCCGCTCCCCCCGGCGCGGGGCCCGGGAGACTGCGGGCGGCCCCTAGGAATGCGCGTGCAGCCGTTGCCATGGCAACATGCAAGCCCGCGCCTGCCCTCGGCCAAGGATAAGGGAGGCTGAGGGGGCGGGGGCTGGTCCCCCGGAGGTCCAAACCCGTCACGCGGAGGTTGCACGAGGGAACTGAGGACACCCCTACCCCGGCCTCAAATCCTCTTGGAGCTAGAGTGCAAGTCGCTTCCCCTCTCTGAGCCTCAGTTTCCCCATCTGCCAACTGGAGGCAATATTATTGGTTGCAAGTTCCCCGAAGAGCTATCTCCAAGAGTATCGGTCCAGGCCAGCCCCTTCTCCTGGTGGGATGTCCGAGGAGGGGGCTTTAGCGGCCCGGATGACCCCCGCGACCCTCCACCCCAGGCCTGCTCGCCATGGCCCTTTTCGGGGCCTTCTTCCTAGCGCTGCTGGCAGGCGCTTATGCGGAGCTCCCGGGCTGCAAAATGCGCATCACTTCCAAGGCGTTGGAGCTAGGTAAGGGCGCGGGGGCGAGCGGCAAAGGGCTGCGGTGGGGTCGCCCCAGCAGCGGGCGCCCGCGCTAAGGGTCTCACTGTTGCCTCAGTGAAGCAGGAGGGGTTGCGCTTTCTGGAGCAAGAGCTGGAGACCATCACCATTCCGGACCTGCGGGGCAGCGAGGGCCATTTCTATTACAACATCTCCGAGTGAGTGGGGGGCCGGGGCGGGGTCTGGGAGGTGAAGGTGGGGCCTACGCGACACGGGAGCGGGGGTTATGAAATAGTACGCCGTCTCGGAAGATGGGATGGCTGAGTGGAATGAGCGCGAGACGAATGGAAGAGGCAGGACTTAGGAAACAGGATGGGGCCGAGGAGACCAAGGCCAAGCCAGCCAACTTAGTCTGGACCAAGCAGGTAGGCGAGGCCTAGAAAGGATAGGTGGGGCCAAGAGGAGTAAAGCAGGACCAATGGTACTGAGGCGTAGCCTAAGAGTTGAGAGGCGGAGTCAAGGAACTTAGCCAATGGATGAGAGTAGAGTCTAGGGCACCCTGCCTGGAGATGGAGGGGATCCAGCCCCAAAGTAAAGACCGGAGCCTTGGTTTAGGATGGAGTGGGGAACAGGGAATTGGGAGATGGGGCGGAGCTTAGATGATGGAGATGAAATCCAAGGAGCCAGTAAAAAGATCAGGTCAAGCAACTCCAGGATGTGGGAGGGGGTGGGTGCAAACAATAAGACTTCTAAGAGATGAGGCAGAGCTCACCTTTAGCGCCTGAGTCAGGACAAGCTAATGTGGGAGCTACCCAAATTCATCTTGGACCCTTGAGGGGCAGAGGAAGAGAATTGGTTCTGCCAAACCCAACTTCCCAGACTTGGACTAGAAGAGGGAAGGAGTTTCCCATTGTCAAGAGGGTCCCCTCTTCTTGGCCCTGGGGGATGTGAGCAGTTCCTGGTCTCCAGGCCCTTTGAGGGGTCCCGGCCCTGGGTCTGACTCTAAAGGTCCCCCGCAGGATGAAGGTCACAGAGCTGCAGATGACCTCCTCTGAGCTCAATTTTCACCCGGAGCAGGAGCTGATATTACAAATTACCAACGCCTCCTTGGGGATGCGCTTCCGGAGACAGCTGCTCTACTGGTTCTTGTGAGGATCCAGCGCCTCAGGGAGGGGGTGGGTCAGGAGGACTGGGGTGCTTAGCCTTTCTGAGTCTGTTTCTTGTACATAAGGATTGATAGGAGGGTTTGGCAGAATGTCTGGTAGACTGAAGAAGTGAAGCCTTATTAAATGAGTTATCATAATGTATGGGGGTGAAGACCCAGTTAAATTTCCAGCTGGGGTGAGCATTAACCTCCTATTGGCAGCTATGATGGGGGCTACATCAATGCCTCGGCAGAGGGCATATCCATCCACACAGCTCTGCAGCTCTCCCGGGACCCCACTGGCCAGATCAAGGTGTCCAACTTCTCCTGCCAGGCCTCTGTCTCCAGAATGCACGTGAACTTCGGGGGAACCTTCAAGTAAGCCCCATCCCCAACCCCAGTGCACCCCCTTGGAGCCGCATAGCCCATGTGCCTAGTGCAATATAAAGTGCACAGGCTTAGGAGTCAGACCATGTGTGTCCAAGTCCTGACTCCACCACTTCCTGGCTTGTGACCTTGGGCAAGTCACTGAAGCTCAGTGCTCAGTTTCCTCATCTGTAAAATGGGGATAATAGAACTCGTTTTATAAAATTGTTGTGAGGAGAATTTGAGTTAATATATGTAAAAATATTTAGTACAGTACCTGGCATATAATAACTGCTTATCTAAGTGCTAACCACTTAGAGTAATTGTGAAGGTTAGAGTGTGCAAAGCTGGACATGTAGTGAGTTTCTTAATAAATGGCAGCTCTTAATAACAAAAAATAGTAGCATAATTCTGGGTGGTGGGCTGAGAAGGCGACCTTGTGCTGCTTTGGAAGTGGTGCATTTATCATCTGATGTCAGCTTTTATTGATTCAGCAAAGTATGTGCCGGGCCCTGAGGATTCCAAAAGGAGCTCAGTGCCTCACTGGAGGGACAACACATTTGTCATCAGGGCCTCAAGAGAGGGGCCAAGTCAGGACTCTGGTGGGGGCGGGGAGTCAGAGGAGGATGATCTGGGAAGACTGCCTGGAGGAGGAAGCATCTGAGCCAGGACAGGGCAGGGAGCACTGAGGGTGAACGGGAGGGCATCAGTAAGCATATGGAAGTAGGATGCTCAGAGCAGGTTTGGGGAACTATGGTGGATTCATTTGGCTGGAAGGGGGCAAGGAGTAGGAGAGGTCTTAAAAATCAGACGTTGGGGAGACTTGGGCCTGGGTCGTAGAAAACCTCCATGAAGGAGCTGGTAATTCAGGTCAAAGCAGAGGCGTCCCTACCACCACCACCACATCTCTAGTCACTGTGATTCCTCCAGGACCCAAGGGGTAGGGGCAGGGGTTCACCTGGCCTCTTATCCCCCCACAGGAAGGTGTATGACTTCCTGTCCATGTTCATCACCTCAGGGATGCGCTTCCTCCTCAACCAGCAGGTGTGGGCAGTGGCAGGGCAGGGGGCAGCAGGGATGGGCATGGCCTCGCCTACAAGGCCCTGACTCTGCCCCACCTCCCAGATCTGCCCGGTGCTCCACCACGCTGGGATGGTGCTGCTCAACTCCCTTCTTAGCACTGTGCCTGGTGAGTTGGTGCTGGGGGACTGGGAGCTCTGGGTCAGGCCCTGGACTGGAGTCGGGATGGGGAAGAGGCTGGGGTCGAGTTGTCATGTGGCACCTCAGAGTGGGCCCCTTCCAGACTGTTCTGTCGAACAGCCCTGAGTTCAAATCTGCCCTCCACTGCCGACTTTCTTTGTGGCCTGAGGAAAGTATTCCCTTCTCTCTGAGCCTTGTTTTCTCACTTGGCTGGCAATGCCTCCCTCGTGGGGTTGCTGTGATGATTAACATATTGAGGACATCTTAGTATGTTCTTGCCGGCCATCGGGGGCCCATTGTGTTCATCGCCTGGCACTTAATAGATGCTCAGATAATGTGAATTCCTTTCTTCTAAGCCGTGTCCTCTGCCTGTGGGACAGGGAGCTTGTCCCATCACACTCCACATACAGTCAGGGATGGGGAGGAGAGGCAGGGGAGATCAACGAAGAGAAATGGGGACGCCTGGCCATTTTGCTCTTAGTGATTTGATGAAACCCCTGTAATAATAGTAATAATAATAATGGCAGCTAACATTATTAAGCACTTACTACACACCAGGCTCTAAGTGCTTTACACTTAAAACAAATCTGATCCTCATAACCGTGTGAGGAAAGTACTATTATCACCATTTTATGGATGAGGAACTGAGGCCCAGAGAGGGTAAGCATCTTGCTCAACATCACACAGCTTTGAATGACTTGAGCCTTTCCCTTAGTGCGCAGTTCTGTGGACGAGCTCGTTGGCATTGACTACTCCCTCTTGAAAGATCCTGTGGCCTCCTCTAGCAACCTGGACATGGAGTTCCGGGTGAGCTGCTAGGCTGGTGTGTTGTGACCGCTGACCTCCTAACCAGACTCCTTCTTGCTTCCTCCTCCCCTAAATTGCTGGTTTTATCTTCCTAAAGCACGGCTCTGATGAAGCCAGTCCATTAGAATGCCGTGGCTCCCTGATGCCTAGAGAATTAGGTTCAACCTCCTGTGTCTGGCCTTCCAGCCTTCTTAAATCTTATCTGGCCCAACCTTTCTAACTTTATCCTGTTTCTCTGCACCTGCTCTTTTCCCCAGATATGCTCCTCGCTTCTGACCTCAGGGCCTCTGCTAATGCTGCTCCCACTACCTTTCCCTGTCTCTCCTGAGGGAGTTGGACATAAAGCTCTATGCACATAATCTCATTTCATCTTTTTACAACCCTGAGACAGGTATTAACATTATACCCATTTCAGGGCTGTGAGACTTGCTCAGAGGGGCAAAGTCACTTGCCCAAGGTCACACAACTAGCACGTGGCCAGCTTTGCTCATAATCGTTATCCTTAGCACCTCCCGATGGAATGTAGCAGAGTTTCGGAGCACAGGTTCCAGAGCCAGAATGCTAAAGTTCAAATCTTGGCTTAACCTTTCTGTGCCTGTTTCCTAACGTTGTTATCAGGTGCCGTTGAGTCAATTCTAATCATAGTGACCCCACGTGACAAGAGTAGAACTGCCCCATAGGGTTTTTCTAGGGCATCATCTTTATGGAAGCAGATCGCCAGGTCTTTCTCCCTCGGCGCTGCTGGGTGAGTTTGAATTACCAACCTTTCAATTCGCAGCCGAGCGCTTAACCACTGCACCACCAGGGCTCCTTTGTTTCCTAATATGTAAATAGAAATAATACAGTAAGAAAACATACCTCACAGATTTGTTATATGGCTTAAAGGAACTGATCTACGTAAAGGGATTAAATAGCGCCTGGCACATAATAATTACTATGTAAACACTAGCTATGAGGCGGTGGTGGTTCAGTGGTAGAATTCTTGCCTTCCATGCGGGAGACCTAGGTTCGATTCCCAGCCAATCCAGCTCGTGCACAGCCACCATGCATCTGTCAGTGGAGACTTGCATGTTGCTGTGATGCTGAACAGGTTTCAGCTGAGCTTCCAGACTTAAGACAGGCTAGGAAGAAAGGCCTGGAGATCTACTTCTAAAAATCAGCTGGTGAAAACCCTATGGATCCCAACAGTCCAGTTTATAAGCAATCATGGGAACGGTGCAGGACTGGGCAGTGTTTTGTTCTGTTGTGCATGGGGTCACTATGAGTTGAGAGCCGACTCCATGGAAGCCAACAACAGTTGTTATTATTGCCATCCAGCTTTCCAGATCCACTCAAGCACCTTCTCTTTTGTAAAATCTGTCCTGATCGACCCTCCAGTGGGCTGGAATTGCTCCCTTGCAGCACCCCAGCTGCCCTTCTTTTGATGCCTTTTAAGAGATGTATTTGCAGATCTCTCAAGGGCAGCACCTGGGTCCGAACCCCGTCACTCCCCATAGTACCTGGGACAGGGCTGGGAGACACCTGCCGTCAGTCTGTGTACTGAGCCAGTCTGCCTTGACCCTGACCCCCAACCCCAGGGGGCCTTCTTCCCTTTGGCCGAGAGGAACTGGAGCCTGCCCAACCGGGCAGTGGAGCCCCAGCTGCAGGAGGAGGAGCGGATGGTGTATGTGGCTATCTCGGAGTTCTTCTTCGACTCTGCCATGGAGAGCTACTTCCGGGCGGGAGCTCTGCAGCTGTCACTGGTGGGGGACAAGGTACACTAGGGCCCGTACGGGGGGTGGGCAAGAGAGGGCCAGTGACAGAGCTCCTGATGACTTTGTCTCACCCCCATTCCCTGTCTAGGTGCCCCACGATCTGGACATGCTGCTGCGGGCCACCTACTTTGGGAGCATCATCCTGCTGGTGAGCAGTGGTGGGAGGTAGGGATGTGGTGGGGGGCACACCACCTAGACCCCAGGGGAGGGGACCAGTGAGGGTGCAGGCGCTGGCCCCAGCAGCAGCCAAGGAGTAGACAGAAGACCTAGCCTCTTGCCCATGGCCAAGTCTCCTCACCGCTAAGCTGTTTCCAAAGTCTGTTTAGGTGGAATACTACTTCCTGTCCTGTCTCCCTCACGGAGCCGCGGTGAGAACCCGGGCTTAAATAATGACTACATATTCTTTTGGGTTATTTTCCGTTGCATAGTGAGGGGCATGGGAGTTAAGCATTTAAAAAGAAGTATTTCAGTTATCGTGAAAGGACGTGTCCTGGGTTCAATGTGGTAAATGATGGAGCTGGGATTTGAACCTGTGTGATCCCAGGTCACGCTGGGTGTGATGTAGATTAAATCAATTCGCGCCAAGCCATTAGAATAGCGCCTGGTACAGAGTTAAGTGCTCAGTGAACACTAACTGCTGTTATTATCACTGTCATCATCCTCATCAAACTTACGGCTAAGCGATTAAGAGCATGGACTCTGGTGCCAGACTGCCTGGATTGGAATCCCAGCTAATAACGACATAGCCTTGGACAAGTTACTTAATCTCTCTGTGCCTCAGCTTCTGTAAAATGGGGATGATAACTGTACCTGCCTCATAGAGTTACTGTGAGTCTTAAAGAAGTAACATGGGAAGTGTTTAGAATCATGTTTAGTGAAGCCTAAGCACTTGATTAACATTAGCTATTAGGATTCCTACACTGCCTGGGGAAGAAAGAGCACAGCAGTTTAGAAAAAAAGAGACATAGCCACGGGCTGAGATATTTCATGCAAAGAGGCTGTCCCTGAGGCATCTGGATTGGAGACGGATCTTGAGTGGTGAGAACATAGGAGAGCAAAAACAGAAGGAACGAGACATTCCTAGAAGGTCTACAATGCAGACAAAGGCACGGGGACTGCAGGCAGATCTGGGAAGGTTCTGGAAGCTAGACGAGGCTTCACATTGGTCAAGGCCTGTGCTCACAGACGGCAGAGGCTGCATCACCCCCTCCTCCCAGGGGGGCTCATGAGGGAACAGATCTGGGATCTGACTCGCCTGCCCTGCTCTGTCCCCAGAGCCCGGCAGTGATCGACTCCCCGATGAAGCTGGAGCTGCGGGTCACAGTGCCACCACGCTGCACCATCAAACCCTCTGGCACCACCATCTCCATCACTGCTAGCATTACCATCGCCCTGGTCCCGCCCAACCAGCCTGAGGTCCAGCTGTCCAGCATGACCATGGTGCGGCTGCCAGAGTGGGGGCTGCCGAGGGTCAGGGAGAAGTGGGCTGTGTACCCCTCCAGTCAGTAACACCCCTCCCCACTTACCCACAGGATGCCCGGCTCAGCGCCAAGATAGCACTCAAGGGGAAGGCGCTGCGCACGCACCTGGACTTGCGCAAGTAAGCAGATACCCTGGGCAAGCCCTTGCCCTCTCTGAGCCTCCGTGTCTGCAGGATAGTCACACCTGCCCAACAGAATCACGGAACTAAGATGCAATCATACCTATACGTCACTGGAGAGCTGGGCCTTTCTGTTACTGCATACTGAGGGCTTTATTAAAGCATGACTTCTTTGCATTCTCTCAAAACTCCAAAGCCAGGCGGCACAGGTATTGAGAGATGAGCAAGTGGCCCAGTGAGGGTAAATGACATACCTGCAGCCATGTAGCTAGTGCCTGGGAACCAGAACCTGCAAGAACTTGGGTTTTGGCAGAAACCTCAGCACAACTTAGCAGCCTAGTGACCTTGAGGCAAGTCACATAATCTTTCTAAGCCTCATTTTCTTTATCTGTTAAATACAGGTATAAATAGCATCTACTTCCTAGGGCTGTGGTGTCCAATATGATGAACATCAGCCACTATTATAACTAAATAGCTCCTCGGTTGCACTAGCCACACTTCAATTGCTTAATAGCCACCGGTGGCTAAAAACCAAACCAAATCAATTGCCGTCGAATCAAGTCTGACCCATGGCAACCCTGTGTGTGTCGTCTGAGTACACCCGTGCTCCATAGGGTTTTCCATGGCTGTGTTTTCAGAAGTAGATCGCCAGGCCTTTCTTCCAAGGTGCCTCTGGGTGGATTCGAACCACCTAGTGGCTACCATATTGGAATAGTGCAGATACAGAACGTTTCACAGAAAGTTCTATTGGACAACACATCTCTAGGGAGTTAGAGTAAACACCGTAAGGTTTGGTAAGTAAAAATAAACAACACATACAAAGCTATCAGCAGAAGAATGGCATACAGGAAATGCTGAACAAATAAATGGTAGCTAAAAGAGGAAAAAAAAAAGGCCCAAAGAGAGAGAGAGAAACACCTCACTAAGGATCCACACCTGGAAAGTGGCAGCGCCACCTGGAAAGGCGTATAGATAGGACATCCCAGACTGACACTCAGGGGTCTGTGGTAGGTGGGCCTGGGTGGCCTGAGGAAGGGGCGCTGGCCCACTGGGCACTTCTTTACTCCTGCAGGTTCCGAATCTACTCGAACCAGTCTGCATTCGAGTCACTGGCAGTGAGTAGGGAATCGTGGGGCGGCCGGGGCTGGGGGCTGGGGTCAGGGGTGGGCAGCTAAGGCCAGCCCACCCCCCACTCTCTGCCCTGACTACACCCTTCCTTCCCAGCTGATCCCTTTGCAGGACCCCCTGAAGACCATGCTGCAGATTGGGGTGATGCCGCTGCTCAACAGTAGGGTTGGGGTGTGAGGAGGGAGGAGGAAGGGGAGCTGGGCTGGGTAGGCACAGACTGAGCCCGCTGCTCCCACCCACAGAGCATACCTTGCGTGGGGTGCAGATCCCACTGCCCGAGGGCATCAACTTTGTGCGGGAGGTGGTGACGAACCATGCGGTGAGTGGGGGAAAGGGGAAGGAGGGCAGAGCTGCCCCTCCCTCTGCAGCTCACCAGTGCTCTTGCCCTCCAGGACTCCTCCCTTCTCAGTTGCCTCCTCCCATTTTAATCCTACACCAGCCACCTCCAGTCCTTTGCACAGGCCATGCCCTCTCCTCGGAACAATCTTCCCTGATTCCACCCCTAGCTCCTACTGATACTTCAGGTCTTAGCTAAGAGGTCTCTTCCTCCAGGAAGGCCTCCGTGACTCCCACAGGCTGTGCTTCTTCAGCCTCTATTTCAGCACCTTCACATACTGCTGTGCTGCCCCACTCCCCTACCAGACTGAGACCCCCTCTCTGACTTGCTGCACAGGGCTTCCTCACCATTGGGGCTGACCTCCATTTTGCCAAGGGGCTGCACGACGTGATTGAGAAATACCACCGGCCCGCCGACGCAAGTGAGCCCCAGGCATCCAGTGTCCCTCCAACCTCTATGGCAGCTGCCTGAGCCCTCTGACCTTCCCCTGGGAACTGCCATTCAGGACTCCGACCCCTCTCACTCCTCCCTCTGCCCGCCCACCACACAGCCTATAGTAGCCCCTTTAACCCCTGGTGCCATGGAGAAGACAGGGTTTTAAGCTGTCCCGATTTAATTCCATAATTACAGCCAATCCATCAATTACAGTCCGTCCACCCCACCCCCCAGGGGCCCTCCAGAATTCAGCGGGTTCCTGGGGTGGAATCAGTGCATTAGAAGGCATTTGTTAAGCAGGGAAGGGAGGCGGGCCCCCCAAGTCAGGGTCTACTGCAGGAATAAAGTGCTAACTACCCCGGGTTGTCTACATGAGGTGCTGTGCCCCTCTGGGATGCTCAGGGCCTGGGAAGGAGGGTGGTTTGTGGAGGCAGGGGCCTGCCCCCAGAGGCGTGTGTGTAAAGGAGGCCCTCTCTCCTAGGGGAGGGGCTGGGAGGGCTGGATCAGGCAGTGGGGGGCTGGTCCCTGAGGTCATCAGTATGGCTTCTTGTTCAGGAAGCGGGAGAACATGGTGAAGGCAGCCTGGGGCTTGTCGGTGGGGACCATGTGTCCAGCGCCCTGAGGAGCAAAGCATTGTGGAGATTCTGACCTCCACCATCCCTCCCCTTGTAGCCCCTCGCCCCTGGCTGCTGCCTTCATCCCACTGGATCCCTCAGGCCAGCGAGCTTCCCCTCCCCCAGCCCTTCCCCAGACCCCTGTACTCAAGCCCCCTATCCTCCTCACGCCTCTGAAAAAACTTGCCCTTCTAGGGGCCAGATGGTAGCCCTGTAAGGGAAGGAGGCTGGAAGGAAAGACAGGGAGGGGGTCTGCCCTTGCCCTCTCTCCCCAGCTGGCCCAGGCAGGCCAGGTCCTACCTTGACGGTGAGAAAGGCCATGTGGGAGAACTCCTTCACGAAGCCAGCAATCTGCTCCCCGCTGTCCCCATAGCCCACTAACCAGGGCCGCCGCTGCACCTCTATCTGCCCACGAGGAAAGCGCTTATCAGTCTGCAGCAGCCCCATCTTCCCTGCTCACGGCTGCATTTGAGGCCGCAGGGGCTGGAACTGCTCTCCAGGTTGCCCTCGACTGGCTGGATCCAAGCAACCAGCCCCACCTAGGCCCCCGAGCCATGACCCCGACCCCCAGCCTTCCCCAGGACTGGAAATCTCTGTCTTACCTTCTGGTTTAGAGAATCCACAAACCACTCATCCCCCATGAAATTGCAGGCCATGTCTACATCTCCATTGTATATCAAGATCCGGTATTTCTGGAGCAGGACGGGGACAAATGGGGTTTGAGAACAAGCCCATGACTTCCCCAGTTAAAGTCCCTCCCCCCAGGGGATTCAAGGGACCCAGCTAAATAGCACAAACACGTCTAACACTCTATTAGTTGCTTTACCTATTTTGTCTCCATTTTACAGATGGTGAAACTGAGGCTCAAGATAGTTAAGAAACTTGCCCAGGGACACATGGCTAGGAAAGGGACTTGTGCCCAGGCAACCTGACTCCAGAGCCCATGCTCTTAACCACTGTGCGGTACAGATCCTGGGTCTAACCTGGCTCTGCTAGTGCCTCGTAGGCGACCTTGGACACGGCCCTCTCCCACCCTGGACCTCCATTTGCCCGTTTGTAACACAAACTGATTGGCTCTCCTCACCCTGAAGACTACTTAGCTGATGCAGACTGCTCAGGCTCCTCCAGCAGAGCAGCAGGGCACAGACCGGGTTCAAATTATGAAACTACCAACCGCAGAACCTCGGGCAAGTGACTTCCCCTCTTGGGGTCTCAGGGTCCCCAGCTGTCCCGAGGGGGGCTGTGAAGGGGCCCTGCCTTGCCCTGCTGCTCCAGGATCCTGTGGCTGCTGGTGGACCCAACTGTGCTGCCCCCACTCACCTGTGAGCTGAGCAGCTTGAGGTACTGGGTGTTCATGGTTTGGTAGATGCGGCGGTACTGCACATTCACCAGGAGGCTGCCGGAAGCACGTGGGTAGGGCCCCAGGAGGACCAGGAGGGGGAAGAAAGTCAACTGACTGAATTTCCTCTCCCATCCCAAGCTTCAGCCTCAGAGGCATGCAGCTGGGTTTCAGTGCCCTCTTTGGGCATTTCACCTCTCCTAGATGGGGGCTGGAGTTCAGCGATCCTTAACCCACCCCCATTTAGAAATGTGTAGGGACATTTTGGGTTGTCACAGTAACTGGGGACCTGTTGCCAAATTAAACCTGTTGCCATCAAGTTGATTGTGGCTCATAGCGACCCTACAGGACAGAATAGAACTGCCCCATAGGATTTCCAAGGGGCAGCTGGTGGATTTGAACCGCTGACCTCTTGGTTAGCAGCCAAGCTCTTAACCACTGCACCACCAGGGCTCCATAACTGGGGAAGCACCTAGCATTTTGTGCCTAGGGGGGTATGAGAGTCACAGGAGAGTGGCATGTGGGCACCAACCAATCAGAGTGGCCCCTGTTGTGCCAGGTATCACCCCTTTACTTGCTGGCTCAAAGGTGATCTGGGGTAGGAGCTCAGGGGGGCTTGGGGCAGTGTCTGTTTATTAATACTACAGAAGTAATCAATATTTTACTAACTGATATTGCCATTTCAGAAAAAACTGGCTGAAAATCAATCAAGTCAGGGGTCTGGGACGTTCAACATCCTTTACAACAACAAATGTCACACCCTGAACCCCCCAACACTAGCCAGAGTATCCCCGGAATCTTTCTGATGCCCACGAGCCCCGCTGGCCTGCCACTCCCAGGCCAGCACAGCCCCGGAGCCTCACTTGCACAGGTCCCACTGGGGCAGCTGGTCGGGGATGTGCAGGGCCTTCTGCACGTAAGGGTTATTGAGGTAGGTGGACAGGGCTGTGCTGTTGATGCAGGGGGGGTTCAGGCGTGTCCTACCTCCAGATTGCAGCAGTACCTGCGGGCACAGATAGGGTCAGAGCCTTCACTCTCCTGCGCTGGCCCACCCCTCGCCCCACCTGGGGAGGAAGCCCATGCACGTGCACACCTGATGCCACGTCCGCTTGAGTGGGAGGCGAGTGAAGATGTTGCCCAAATCATGGACCACCATGGTGTTCTTCTCGTATCTGCAGGGGAGGTGGGGACATGGGTGTCCGAGCCTCCAGATGTGGCTGGGGTGGGCCCGAGGGGCACAGGGCAGGTCCTACCTGATATGGCCAGGCACTCCCCCGGCACAGGGGGCATAGAGGTTGTAGATGTTGAGGCCAGATTGCCCCACGATGCGGGACACTTCGTTAAGCTGCAATGAGACACGAAGCTGCCATACTTTGCAGATCCCTGGCCTCTCCATGACCTCACCAACGTGTCCCCAAGATTCAACTCTCTCACACTCCACCTATTGTCATTCCCCTTCCTCCACTTTTTTCATAGGTAGGGAAACTGAGGCTCAGTGGAAGGAATTGGCCAGCCCTGAGTCCAAAACCCAGCCCCACTACTTCCTAGCATTGGAACTTGGAGCAAGTGACTTCAACATTCTTCGCCTCAGTTTCCTCATCTGGAAAATTGGACAGTAAGCTCTTTCTTGAAGGAGAATCCTAAAGATTATGTATAGTCTGCATGGATCCGGTTTAGCACAGTGCCTGGCATACCGCAGATGTCCCTTCCCCCTCACAGGGGTGAGAGGATTGTCCCAAAAAGTCATAGCTAGTAGTGCCGGTGGGAACACACACGTCACGACTCCCAGAGAGCACCTGATGGCTGAAAGGTGCAGGACAGGAAAGCAATGGGGGATGGGGACAGGGAGTCCCCAAGGAGGAGACGGGGTCCCCTACCCAGGATGAGGGGTGGCAGGGCTGACACAGAACCTCACCTGGGTCACGCATTCTGGGTCTTTGTTGTCATAGAAGTTACACTTGTTTTCAGAGCAGCAGTGGGTCTGGACAGAAGACCAGAGACTATTGGAAACCGGAGTGAAAAGTGCTTAGGCCCCCAGTGGGCAGAGAAGGTGAACATCCCAGCTCCTCCCTCCAACCCCAGTCAGGACCTGATCCCAGGGGACTAGAAATACATCACAGGGTGTGGTATGTAGGTGACCAAACTTAGCTTCCAAGGACCTGCCCTGGGCCATGCAGCCAGCCTTCCTTCCAAATCAAAACCAAACCAGCTGCTGTTGAGTCAATTCTGACTCATAGTGACCCTACAGAACCTAGTGGAATTATCCCCACCCCCGCACGCCCTCCAGGGTTTCCAAGGCTGTAAATCTTTATGGAAGCAGATTGCCACATCTTCTCGGGGGTGGCTGGCGGGTTCAAATAGCTGACCTTTCAGTTAGCAGTCGAATGCTTTAACCACTACGCCACCAGGGCTCCTTTAGTCCTCCTTAGTCCCTTCTGATCTCTCTTCATTGGCCTTTCAGCACCAAAACCTTCCAGCAACCCCAGCCCCCACCTCCTGCTCATAAACCAGGGCAAGGTCCTGGGTTTTCAGGGTCAGACCTGAGAGCTCACAATCAGCCCCACCCTGGAGACTGCCCAACTGCCCCTCTCCCATACCTGTTCCCCAGGAGACCGTGGTAGTAGGCGAAATAGACCAGGGAGTTGTCGTTCTGCTCATAGGAGGAGAGTCCATTGCCCACAGCCAGCCCCTGTGAAACACCCAAGGGTGTTCAGTTCATCTGGAGGGTGAGGAGGAGGAGAAGCCTCCCTTGCTGGACCTACACTTAGACCTTTAGCAATCTGGAAGCTGAAACCCAGCATGGTTTTTAGGGGTGGGCAAGGTCACTTAATATAAAGAACAGAACTTTGGGCCTTATAGGTATTAGTGAGCTTCCTGTCGTAGGAGACAGGTCAGTTAGTGGCAGGGATGTTATGAAGGAGACTGGATTGGATGGGAGGAGGGGTTTGACCTTTCTGACCTTGCTAATTGCAAGGCTATGATCACCACTGCCTCCCACCCCTCCCACAGCTGCCCTGCACCTGCAGGTTCAAGCTGGGGTCCTGCATGACCAACACCGCCAGGGTGGGGATGTAGACGCCGCCATAGCTCTCTCCTGTCAGGAAAAGCTCGTTGTCCTTGTACTCCGGAAAGAGGCAGAAGAAATCTTTAAGGGCCTCATAATTGCTCTGAGCAACCTGGGGAAGGCAAGACAGAGGGAATCAAAAGACTGGTATTTGAGCAGGAAGGAACATCAGAAATGAGATCAACCCACCCTGTTTGTGCAAGAGGAAGTGACTTGGCCAAAACCATACTACATAGCTTGTGGCAGAGCCAACAATGGACTCCAAGGCCACATGTTCTCCCCCTATCACGCCATCTTAGAGAGCCAAGAAGGCTGGGGCAGCTGGTGGGTACCAAACTCACTTCAGTGTCGTTGGTCACATAATACTTGTCATCAGAGTAGGAGAAGCCCACCCCGGCTGGGGACTCGAGGTACAACATGTTGGCAATCTACAGGAGAGGAGAAAACCAGCTGGAGATGTTCTGCACCCCATCTAGTTCCCCAGACACTCCCACTCCCCATCGGACCCACAGCCCCAGCTGTACCAGGTTCCAAGAATAGGGGTTGTACTGCAGGGTAACACCATCTGGCTGGATCTGAGGAGGAAAGAGATGGCTGAGTAAGTCCCAAGGGCAACTGGGTGGAGGGAAGGGGCACCATGCTAGGTAGGCACTTTATACGAGAACAGAAGCCCTGAGTGGTCAAACCAATTGTGCAGATGAAGAAACGGAGGCTCAGGAAGAAGGGAAGATCTTTGGAAAAATCACAAAGCCCTTTGCGCCCTCTTCCCGATCCTTTTCCTTTGAGAACTGCCACCACCCTTTCCCTTTCCCGGGTTATTGGAAGAGGGGGCTGCTTTCCACTCACCAGGAAGGGGCCATGCTCTGTGAGGAACCCACCGAGGGAGCTGCAGCCTGGCCCTCCGTTGAGCCACAGCACCACAGGGCTGCTCTTGGGATCCTTCTGGGCCTCCACAAACCTGGGATGAGGGTCAGGGTGGGGTCATTGCAGGTGGAGGGGCCCTTTTGAGTTCTCTCCGCTCCCAGGAGCTCTCAGGAATCTTCAGAATCAACCCCCACCTGTCATCTCCCTCGGTGGTACATCTCAGTGCCCCCCAAACCCGCCCTGGAATGTAGGGCCGCCAACCAGTAATGCAGGCGCTTGGAGCCGGAGCCGTGGAGGTAGCCGGAGTATTGGCGGAAACTCGGCTGCTTGGCGAGCCCGGGGAGGAACTGGATCTCGTCCTGCTGGGGAGCTGCCTCGCTTCGGGGCACCCAGGACAGGAGCAGCAGCAGTAGGGACGGCAGGGATAGCGCAGCTCTGAACATCTGCGGGAGGAAAAAGCGGGCGCCAACAGTTTACTAGCTCCCTCCCTTGCTCCTCCGCGCTTCCGTATAGCCGCCCTGGGGAGGACCTGGCGGCGCCTTGGCGACGGAAGCCTTGGTCCCAGACCCAGCTCCCCACCCGCTGAGCCTCCTCCGCCGCGCACGGACAGGCGACTCAGGGATCCCTTCCAGCCTCCGGACTCCCCTCACCTCTGCTCCCCCACGTCTTTACTCTCCAAGAGGCGCCTGGCGAGTAGAAGTCATACGTACTTGTCACGTGAACTCAGGTGCCACGTGACAGACAGCCTTCACGGGCCCTCCTTTGGTCTCCGCTGGCCTCGGGGGCGGTGGCGGAGGCGGTCCACGCCCGGTCAGGGTCGATGGGCTTCGCGGGTCGTACCTCGGGAGATAGCATGACCCAGGTGTGGACAGCCAGGTTCCCCCAGCCTTCTGGGGGCCCCGTTCTCGGCTGCATGGCTGAGCCAGCGGCGCTAGGACCCCTAGCCAGAGCCCCGGGGACAGGGATCTGGGGGGAAATACCCTACATGGTGCCCCCGAGGTCACCAGCTGAGCCAGTAGCCCAAAATAGCTCCCGGCGGACTCCGGCGCTGCTCCTGCCTGAGAGATGGCTTCTGCCTCCGACACCGTGGAGTTGGGTGCGCCTTGGGGACCCGGGCGCCCCGAGCCCGCTCCCACCCGCTTCCACCGGGTGCACGGTGCCCACATCCGCGTGGACCCTTCCGGGACGCGGGCCACTCGCGTGGAGAGCTTCGCCCACGGCGTGTGCTTTAGTCGCGAGCCGCTGGCCCCAGGCCAGGTGTTCCTGGTCGAGATCGAGGAGAAGGAGCTGGGCTGGTGCGGGCACCTGCGCCTCGGCCTGACTGCTCTGGACCCCGACAGCCTGCCTGCGGTGCCCGAGTTCTCGCTGCCCGACCTGGTCAGCCTCGGCCACACCTGGGTCTTCGCTATCACGCGCCACCACAACCGCGTGCCCCCCGAGGGCCACCCGGAGGCTGAGGCCATGTTCCCCAGCCGATCCCCGGCCCTCCTGGAGGAACCCTATCTGTGCATTGAGCAGTTTCGCATTCCCCGGGACCGGCTGGTGGGCCGCAGCCGGCCGGGGCTCTACAGTCACCTACTGGACCAGCTCTATGAGCTAAACGTGCTGCCTCCGACCGCGCGCCGAAGCCGCCTGGGCGTCCTGTTCTGCCCGCGCCCCGATGGCACGGCCGACATGCACATCGTCATTAACGGCGAGGACATGGGCCCTAGCGCCCGGGGGCTGCCAGCCACCCAGCCCCTCTACGCAGTGGTGGACGTGTTTGCCTCCACCAAGAGCTTGCGCCTGGTCCAGCTGGAGTATGGCTGTAGGTATCCCGCCCCCTGGGCAGCGACCCCTCCAGGCCCAGTGTGTGGGCGGGATCCTGCTAGGACTCCCTAGCCAGCTAACTCGACCTTGGTTCAGCATTAATTTAAAAGTCACGGAATCTGTCTTCAGATTCCTCCTCTGCTTGTGAGCTTGGACAAGTCACTCCCCTGCTCTGGGCCTCAGTTTACTCATCTTGGCTGTGATTGATAGGATACCCTGCAAGTTCCCTTTTGGCTTTGGGAATAGTTTCTTTATTATTATTATTATTATTGTGCTTTAGATGAAGGTTTACAGAACAAACTAGCTTTTCATTAAACAATTAGTACACATACTGTTTTGTGACATTGGTTACCAAGCCGACAACATGTCAACACTCCCTTCTTGACCTTGGGTTCCCCATTACCAGCTTTCCTGTCCCCTCCTGTCTTCTAGTCCTTACCCCTGGGCTGGGTGTGCCCCTTTAGTCTCATTTTGTTTTATGGGCCTGTCTAATCTTTGGCTGAAGGGTGAACCTCAGGAGTGACTTCATTACTGAGCTAAGAGGGTGTCCGGGGGCCATACTCTCGGGGTTTCTCCAGTCTCTGTCGGGCCTGTACGTCTGGTCTCTGTGAGTTAGAATTTTGTTCTACATTTTTCTCCAGCTCTGTCCAGGACCCTCTATTGTGATCCCAGTCAGGGCAGTGAGTGGTGGTAGCCAGGCATTTAGTTGTGCTGGACTCAGTCTGACGGAGTCTGTGATAGTTGTGGTTTTGGTAATATTTTCTGTATTAATCTATGGCAGGGATTCTGAGCTGATTTCAGATCCTGGGCCTCTTTGAGAATGTGTGCTCTTATTAGAAAAATACTCATAGATTTGGGTAGACCAGTTTAGAGGATTCACAGATCCCAGACTGAGAGCTTCTTAATCCTGAGGTCTGGTGCACTGCAGTCCTGTGAAGCCCTTAACTGACACCTCTGATCTCATTGCATGAATTCAGTGAACTTGAACGCAGTCTGTGTGGAGTGGGTGCTGGAGGCTGGTGCTGCAGAGGTTAACCAGACACAACCCCTGGCAGCTGCTCGGTTGAGGGGCAGACAGGGCACTAAGTGTTGTAATAGAAACCCAATGCAACACCGAGTTCGCTGGGAAAGGTGCTTATCTCAGCCATGTTAACAGCCCATGAAGTAGGCTGGACTTGGAGAGCAGAGGGACTTGTCCAAGCTAACACCAAAGTAGAGGCCAAGACCTCCATCTTCTGGGACTCAGCCTCAGACCCACCCTCCAGTTCCGTTTCCCCTCTTTTCCCAGTGCCATCCCTGCAGACTCTGTGCCGCCTCGTGATCCAGAGGAGTGTGGTGCACCGGCTGGCCATTGATGGGCTCCACCTGCCAAAAGGATTGAAGGATTTCTGCAAGTTCGAGTGAAGGCCTGCAGTCGCCAGGACCAGGGCCACAGAGCATGTGCTGGCCCTAGAGTGCGGCTTGTCCGCAGCTGGCCACGTGGCTGCCGGCCAGGGCCAGAAATAAACAGCCAATGCTGACACGCTGATCATTGGAGGGTCTCCTTGCTCCTGCAGCTGGTGAGGGGCACTTCCTTTAGGATCACTACTGGTCAGCAGGTCAGAGCAAGAGTATTTTAGAGGTCATGGAGCCCAGTGGGAGCCCTGGTGGTGCAGTGTTTAAGAATTCAGCTGCTAACCAAAAGACTGGCAGTTTGAATCCACCAGCTGCTCCTTGGAAACCCTATGTGGCAGTTCTGTTCTGTCCTATAGGGTCACTATGAGTCAGAATCAACTCGAGGGCAATGGGGTTTTTTTTTTTTTTTTTTGTTTGTTTGTTTTTTTTTTGAGCCTAGTGGTTCTTAGCCTGGCTACTCACTGGAGTCACTGCAATACTTAAAGAGTGCCAATGCCATGGGCATCAGGGCTTCTTGTGCAATTTGTCAGGGGATTCAAACCGAACCAAACCCACTGCTGTTTAGTTGATTCTGACTCATAGCAACCCTGTACAACAGAGTAGAACTGCCCCATTGGGTTTCCAAAGAGCAGCTGGTGAATTGGAACTGCTGACCGTTTGGTTAGCAGCCAAATGCTTAACCATTGCCTCACCAGGGCTCCATTGGGGGATTAGGCCTGGACTTTTTTTTAAAGCTCTGCTGGAGTTTCTAATGTACAGCCAGGGTAGAAAAGCATTTCCCTAGAACAGGTCTTCAGCCTGGATCCGACCCTGGGATTCTGATTTAACTGGTCTGGGATGAGGCTGGGCATCAGGATTTTTAAAAGCTCCCCAAGAGATTCTAACATGCAGCCTAGGCTGAGAACCAGTGCCCTAGCCCAATTATTTTGCAGATGGGAAACTGAGGCCCACAGATGGAAGTGTATTTGCCCCAGATCACACAGCAAATGAACGAATGCAGAGATGCACAGTGCTCCTTCTCTCACACTACAGGGCACAAAGCACTAGACTTCTTTATTTGTATCTGCTCATTTGCTTCCATACTAACGATTTCATTTAATCCTCACAACTCCTGGTGAGGTAGTGGGCAGAGTCGCCACCCACACTTGACAGGTGAGGATATCCAGGTGACTTGCCCAAGGTAAGGGCAAGAACCTAGAACACCCAGTTCCTGGACCAGTGCTCTTTCAACCCCGTCCTATTGTCATAGACGGGCTCTAGAATGAACAAGTCAGTGCTATGAGGTAGGTTCCAGGTGTAAAGGGGAGGGACTGTGAGGTGAGGTTCTAGAAGGGTAGAGAGGGTAGGACAAAAGGCACATGACTGTTCCTTCACAGCCAGGGGCCTTGGGGTGGCCATGTCCTACTTCATGTCTCCACAAACTCATCTGGGTCTTCTGCCTTCTGGCCAAGGTGAGAGAGGGGCTCCTGGAACTGAAGGGGGTACACCTTCCCCCTGAGAAGCTGCTTTCTGGCTCTGGGGAGGTGGGGGTTCTGCTGGGCATCTTTGGGCTGGCCCTGGAACCAATTCTCTTAGAAGAAAAGCCTTTCCAAAAATCCTTACCAGTAGCTGCCCACTTGCTCATTCATTCATTCAACACTTCTCCATCACCTACTCAGTGTTCAGCGCGGGGGGTATGGATAACACCTAGTCCCCAACCTCAAGGTGGCCCTCTTGAGCTGCTCTTAACTGCTCCTGCTCCCAATGCTCCACCCTTATGCCCTGCCCCTCAGGGCCTCCTCAAGGAGTACAAGAATAACATTCCATCTCATTCCTATCTCTGCAGGTGGGGCTGCTGCTCCGGGCTTGTCCCTTGGCCTCTGTAGCCCTGCAGAGCCAGTGGTGGTGGCCCCTGGTGGGCTGGGCCCGTTGAGCCAGAAAGCTGAGCGGCTGACACCTGTTGCCCAGGCCTGGGGCTCCGCCCTAGCCATGCCAGAAGCCAGGGGCTGCCCTGACGGGGCTAGCTGGGAGCCACTGCCGCGGAAGGAGTACAGCCAATACTGCCACAAACTCTCCACCATGAGGCAGCCGGAGAGCTTGGGCTGGGAGGATGGCTGTTCCAGAGGCCGAGCACCCCAGCTGGGTGGCCCCAGCCGGCCCAGGCCCCTGCTGCTGTGCAGGGTGTCACCAGGGGTTCTGCAGGTACCCTCTGAGGCAGGGGGGCAGGAGGCCGGCTCACAGCCCAACATCTGCATCCTAACCTTGGCCATGATGATTGCTGGCATCCCCACCGTGCCCGTCCCAGGCCTGCGGGAAGAGGACCTGATCCGGGCAGCTCAAGCTTTCATGATGGCCTATCCAGAGCCAGAGGGAGCTGTGGAAGGGATGCGGTGGGAACAGGTGCCCGCCCATACGGCCTCTGGGCAGATGCCCCTAGTGAGACCCAGGAGGGGCCCGCCTCCTGGCTCCTGCTTGTAGCTGGATGAAATAGCACCAGACACATAGGGTGGCTTTCTGTATGGTTTTTGGGGGTGCCTATGGCAATGATGGGGATAGGGTGATTGTTTGAGCCACTTTGACCAGTCCTTCGTGAGAGCCCAGACCCCAGGAAGTTTCTCCAGATACTGCTAGGCCAGGAGATAGGTCTTATCAGTAGTTATAAGTAAAATTACTTGAGGTATAGGAGGCCTTGCTTGGAGACTGGAGGCTTTTATATCATTTTTGGAAACTCAATCAAAAGGTCTCATACTAAGTCCTGAGCTAGGCTATGTGAACTTCCTTCTTCTCTTAAATTTCCCAGCCTGTTGAGGGCGGATGATGGGACTGCAGGCAAGGAAGGAAAACGAGCACTTATTTGAGTACCCACTGGGCATCAGACCCAGTATATGCCCACTCTCCTTTGAACCTAACGACCCTGCGGGGATCCCCATTTTTACAGATGAACAAATTGAGGCTTAAAGAGGTGACTTGCCTGAGGTCCCTTAGCTAGTAAAGGGCTGAACCAGGACACAAAAATCAGGCCAAGGAATAACCAGGACTTGCATGTAGTGTCTGACTCCTAAGCTTATATTCTTTCCAGGATATACCCTAAACAAAAAAAAAAACGTAAGAGTTGGAATGTGCAGTATCCAACTTTAATGACCCCAGCATGGGGAAGGGAGAGAAATACTGGGAGCCTGGCTGGGCCACCTCCCGAGGGCCCTCTTCCTCTGAGGGAAGGCTTCTAGGCCCACTCTCTCTTGGGAAATGGGTCAGAGGAGTCACCTCATGACCTGGGAAGTTGTAAAACCAAGCCCAGCCTTCAACCTCACCACCCAGTGTCCTATCTCGTCTTAGTGCAGAGGTTGTCTGTCTTTAAGACCCTCCAGTGGAGAATGGTTTTTACCTTCTGAAAGATTTGTAGGTAGCAGGCTGCAGTCACGAAGACCCTTGTCCTTCCTTTCCTGGAAGAGGGCCCACAGAAATACAGCCAGGGGTGTGTGAGTGTGTGTGTGAGTGTGTGTGAGAGTGTGTGTGTGTGTGAGAGTGTGTGTGTGAGTGTGTGTGTGTGTGTGTGTGTGTGTGTGTGTGTGTGTGTGTGTGTGGAGGGAGGACGTGAGCATGCACACGTGCATGAACATGTCTGGGCGCTGAGGGTGGTCAGAGTTGGACCTGCTCATAAGGGCCGATCCAGCTGTCGGCGAGTTCCCGCAGGGTGTTGTACCGCCGCTCAAACTCCTCTTGGCTGCAGTGCTGCAAGAGCCGCCTCACCTCCTCAGTGAGAAAAGCCACTACCAGGCGCTTTTCCAGCATCTCGCTCCACTGGCTGCCCAGGATGCCTTCTAGACTAGCGGCGCAGCCTGCCTCCCACTGAGCCGGCAGCATGTCAGGCTGTAGCACCTGGCGACGGGCACTGAGCATGGCGAGGATGTGGCGGCAGGGCAGGTGGAAGGCCTGGTTGAAGTAGCAGCTGCAGCTGGCAGGGGGCTGGGGCTGCACCCTGTGGGTGTCCTCCAGGATCTGTATGTTCACCTTTTCTGAGCCAGAGCCAATGAGGTGCACAGACTTCTGGACGACAGCAAACTCGCCCAGGCAGAGCTGTGCGGCTGGCTCCGTGCAGATGGCATTAAGGGAGTGCTGGATGCGGGATTCTACCAGCTGTACTACGTGAGGGCTTTTGGGGGTGGTGTCTGAGGGGGCAGGACTGTTCTGGGGGCTCAGACACAGGCTGAAGCTTGCCCTGTCTCCAGAGTTCTGCTGCATGTATTGGAGCAGAGAGGCCATGCCTTGTTCCACACATGGGGTGGTGCTGAAGAACTGGCTGAGGGTGCGGGTGGTGACCTCCAGGCCCTGGAAGTAGAGGCTGCTCTCAGCGCGGCTCCGCCAGCGGTGGGCCAGCCAGATGCGGTCATTCAGCAGCCAGTGTGAGTAGAGCTCGGGCAGCTGGGCCGGGGGGATGCAGCTATTCAGGAGTGCATGCAACTTCCTCAGGTTGCCAGTGGTGGCCGAGCACATCGTGCTCTGCAGGGAGGTCAGGAGCACCCTCTCCACTGGCCGCTCAAGGCACAGTTGATAGAACTTTCCCTGGAGGAACTTACAGATGTGGAAGGCTGAGAGCAGGACCTCAGCAGCAGGGAACTCCATGGCCAGAGTAGGCAGCGGGAGGAAGTGGGGATCCACTAGGATGGTACAGACTCTCTCCCATGCTGGGTTAAACTTCTTGAACACCTGAAACATCTGGGTCAGGCCTTCAGCATCCTCCTTGGCAGGGATGGCAAAGTAGACTGCCCGGGCAAGGGGACCCTCCAGCCGCACCTGTGGTCCATCCACCAGGAAGGTGTACAGTACCTTGCCTATTGGATTATAGGTCCGGTGGATAAATAAGATCTCGGGGAACTGGGCAAAGATGCCCTGCATAGAGCAGCTCTGGTAGTTGAGGATCTCTACCTGGGAAGTCTTACTAAGCTGGTACAGCAGCATGTGTGGGGTTGGGTCCTTAATTGGGGGCTCAATCAGCATGGTCAGGGCCATGGGGGAGACGGGGAGTGTCTATCTGTTGAGGTCAAAATGCTCTGCCCCTGAGGCTACTGTCCAGAGATTCTCAGTCTTTCAAGCTCTAACTAAGTCTAGGCTTGAGGCTGGACTGTAGTCTTAAGATCTTGTTCCAAACATGGGCCTACAGAGAGGAAGAGAGGTTTAAGGAATCAGTGGGGACTTGGAGATTCAAGTATTCATCCAGCCAATATTTATTGAACACTTACTGTGTGTCAGCACTGTTCTGGGGGAAGATATGCAATAAACATGTAAACAAACAAGGATATATCAGATAATGAAGGTTACAAAGACCATAACTCTAGCTAACAGGCCAGACAGTAAGGTGGGGGAGGGAGGAAGACATTAGCTTAGGTAGTCAGGGAAGGCATCTCTAGAGGGAAAGAGATGACACGGGAGCTGAGACCTAAATTATAAGCAGCCAGCCACGGAAAGATTTGGCTCCATGGAATTTAAATGGATATGAAGGCCAGAGCTGCATACGGCCTTAAAAATATATAGCATTTTAAGTATTTGTATAGCACTTTATATTTACAACATGCTTTTTGGCATCCATTCTCTCATTTGGTCCTGGTATATGCAAGAGAACTGCAATTGCTCCAAACTTGCTGTGTGATTTTGGGCAAATCAGTGACCCTTTCTGTGCCTCAGTCCTGTCAACCATAAAATGGGGCTAACAAATGTCCATAGCCTCTCAATCTGTATGCTGAGCAAATAATCCAAGAAGCTGAACTATATGAAGAACACAGCATCAGGACTGGAGGAAGACTCATCAACAACCCATGATATGCACATGGCACAACCTTGCTTGTTGAAAGTGAAGAGGGCTTGAATCACTTACTAATAAAGATCAAAGACTACAGCCTTCAGTATATGGATTACACCTCAACGTAAAGAAAACAAAAATCCTCACAACTAGACCAATAAACAACATCATGATAAGCAGAGAAAAGATTGAAGTTGTCAAGGATTTCATTTTACTTGGATCCACAATCAACGCCATAGAAGCAGCAGTCAAGAAATCAAAAGACACATTGCATTGGGCAAATCTGCTGCAAAAGACCTCCTTAAAGTGTTGAAAAGCAAAGATGTCACTTTGAGGACTAAGGTGCGCCTGACCCAAGCCATGGCATTTTTAATTGCCTTATATGCATGCGAAAACTGGACAATGAATAAGGAAGATCAAAGAAGAACTGATGCTTTAGAATTCTGGTGTTGGCAAAGAACATCGAATATACCATGGACTGCCAGAGGGACAAACAAATCTGTCTTGGAAGAAGTATAGCCAGAATGCTCCTCAGAAGCGAGGATGGTAAGACTGCATCTCACTTACTTTGGAAACGTTATCAGGAGGGATCGATCCCTGGAGAAGGACATCATGCTTGGTAAAGGGTAAGCGAAAAAGAGGAAAACCCTTAACAAGATGGATTGACACAGTGGCTGCAACAATGGGCTCAAACATAGCAACGCCTGAGGATTACGCAGGACCGCGCAGGACCAGGCAATGTTTCGTTTTGTTGTACATAGGGTCTCTATGAGTCAGAACCGATTGGACGGCACCTAACAACCACAATTAACTGCAAATGTTTCCTGTTTGAGTTCAAACCGGGTTATTGCCTCCATTTTACAGATGAGAAACTGAGGCTCAGAAACATTAAATGACTTGCCCACCATCACTCTAAGTAGGTGGAAACCGAGTCTGTGCCTCAGGAGGCTGACTGCTTTGCATAGTACCTGGAGTTCAACGGCCAGGGAAGGGGTGGGGTCGCGGCCTTTGACCTCTTACCTCTACCCTAGGTGGGAGAATGTGGACGTCTGACGTTCCCACTCGGAGTCAGGCCAGTGCCAGATGACAAGCCAACTTCCCATCCCTGTGGGAGCTGTGTCATGGCCGACCCCGGTGATCTGTTCCCTCACACCTCCACCCCTTCCGAAATCACTCACCCACAGCCTAGCTCCGTCGCCATTGCTCCCAATTTGACCCTGCCCCCGACTCTGACTGACCTCTAGGTTCACCAACTGCGGCGCCTGCTTCGAAATGACTCGGGCCAATGGCGTGAGGAGTTCGCGTTTGGCGTTTGGTGCCATGGACCAATCACCGCCCAGTGCTTTGTGGGCCGGCACTGTTACCAGGGTTACTAGGGGCTCGGTTGGAGATAACCAATGAGAACCTGAGGATATTTACATCCATTTAAGTCTTAGCCTTGAGGCTGGAATCCCGGAGCCTCCCGTCTGGGTAGACGACTGAAAGGGGCAGCTACTAATGCAAACTCCCTCAAAGGCCGAAAATGAAAATAAATACCAGTGTTTTACGGAAATCTTTTTATTCAAACCGCAAAGGCTCAGAGGGGTTAGGAGACGGTGAATATGTAGTTGCACTGCGTCTTCCACCTTACGGGAAAACTGAAGCCCAGGTCTCAAATTCTGCCTCTCCCTCAGGGCTCAGGGGCTCCACCCTCAAGAGTGGGGCAAATCCAGATCTCCTTGAAAGACATGAACCTTGGTGTTCTCCAGCCCAAACACCGCCAGTATTTCACAGAAGAAACAGGTCCCAGAGTGGTGCTGTGACTTGTTCAAGGTCATGGTGAATTAGTGCAAGAACCAAGACTGACTGCTGTGTTGGATTCAGTTCCCTGAAGATGTCAATCTAGCCCTCCAACAATCTTGGAAAGCTGGGTGGCTACCAGGCCTTGGGCGATTAATATTACAAACTAGCACAAGAGAAACACCAGTGTTTGTGCTTATTAATGCAAGGAAAACGTTCTGTTTATATAAGTCCAGGAGTCGGGGGTGGGGGTTCAGAATTAGACCAGGCCAACATACTACTTTTTACAGATGAGGAAACTGAGGCCAAAGAAACTGTCACCGAGCAAGGTGCTGGCATTCAAGTCTGTAATTCAGGTTTCTTCCCCCTGTCTATTTGGCTCCTGCTGCTAGCATAAGACTCATTAATAACCTGTGATATGCACATGGCACAACCTTGCTTGTTGAAAGTGAAGAGGACTTGAAGCACTTACTGATGAAGATCAAAGACTACAGCCTTCAGTATGGATTACACCTCAACATAAAACAAAAATCCTCACAACTGGACCAATAAGCACCATCATGATAAATGGAGAAAATACTGAAGTTGTCAAGGATTTCATTTTACTTGGATCCACAATCCACTGCCATGGAAGCAGCAGTCAAGAAGTCAAACGATGTATTGCACTGGGCAAATCTGCTGCAAAAGACCTTTTTAAAGTGTTGAGAAGCAAAGTCGTCACTTTGAGGACGAAGGTGTGCCTGACCCAAGCCATGGTATTTTCAATAGCCTCATATCCATGCGAAAGCTGGACAGTGAATAAGGAAGACCAGAGAGGAATTGATGCATTTGAATTATGGTGTTGGTGAAGAATACTGAATATACCATGGACTGCCAGAGGGACAAACAAATCTGTCCTGGAAGAAGTATAGCCAGAATGCTCCTCAGAAGCGAGGATGGCGAGACTGCATCTCACTTACTTTGGAAATGTTATCAGGAGGGACCAGTCCCTAGAGAAGGACATCGTGCTTGGTAAAGGATCAGCGAAAAAGGGGAAGATCCTCAACAGGACAGAATTACACAGTGGCTGCAACAATCGGCTCAGACATAGCAATGGTTGTGAGGATGGCACAGGACTGGGCAGTGTTTCATTCTGTTGTACATAGGGTCACTGTGAGTCGGAACTGACTCCATGGCACCTAACAGCTAGCATATGGGGTAACCTGAAATCAATTTGAAGGCTTGGTTGGTAGGGAGAGGGTGAAGTGGTAGAGTGGTAAGTCTTTGAATTTGAGGCATCAGGTTCTATTTGGCTCCGTAACCTCATTAGATTGATAATACTCAATTTCCTTTAAAATTAATAAATCCAACATAGAGCACCCACTTCCTGATAGTGAAGTCAGGAGTCCTCCTGTCAGGCAATCCAACTCCCCTTTCTTCCCTGTTCAAGCAGAACACATTTCTCCTGCGTATTTGATTTTATTAAAACAAACACCTTTATTTAATATGAATAAAAATAGGTATAAAGGACAGATTCTTCATAAAGAGCAGCAACAGCCAAGGATCACCCTCCCTCCCTTTGTCCTTGAAAACAGGCCCTTTTGCCAGGCCCATTTTGTCTCACCTATCCTGGGGCAGGGGTTTATCTCTGTAGGGTGAATAAGATCTGATCTCAGGGGTCGGGGGAAAGGAGGGTAACCTTTCAGCATGGAGAGAACTTTGGCCTTGAACAAGCAATGAGGCTCTTGAGGAATGTCAAAGGCAGGGCAGAAAAGGGGCAGATCCAAAGGGCCTTCACACACAGTGGGGTTCCACTCCTCCCTATTGTAACACTCCTTCTAGCCCTACCTAGGAAGACATTGGCTAAAATGCTGGCCCCTGATATATCCTGCCACTCTGAGCTCTCTGACTTCTAAAAAGTGGGGTCATGGGGCCAGTGCTCCAGTGCAGGTGCTTCAATCATGAACTGTGGCTTCAGCAGGAAGGAGACCCTCTCCTTCCTCCTGCTTTCCCCAGAGGAAAGGGAGGTGGCCCACATCCTTGAAGTCCCCGGGCTGCTGCCTGAGCTCAGGCAGCTGGCAGGGGTCAGCCCAGATGTCCACGATCTTGCGCAGGGTGGAGCAGCGCTCCTCCAGCTCTGGTCCTTCACTCTGCATTAGCAGGTTGGCCAACTCCCTGCTTAGGTCCTTGATCATGTCATTCCGTCCTTGCTTCTCATGCTGGCCTGTGTTTGGGATCAGAACAGGGTCCCGGAACTCTCCACTGGGCCCAAGGAGGTGCTGGTACCTCTTCTGCCACCGGGAGCAGACCATGGTTTCACTCACAGGCTGCTGGCTGGTGTGTAGCAGAGCCAAAATGTGCCTGCATGGCAGGTGGTACCGTTGTTGAAAGGAACAGCTGCAGCTACAGCCATCTTTGCTAGCCTGGTGGGAGTCCTCTAGCAGCTGAACATTCACTGAGGAACCAACCACCTCTACCAGGTGGGTGGAGTTCTCTACCACCTCCCACTCACTATGGCACAGCTTATAGGCCAGCTCGGAGCCGCTCTGGTGCAAAGTGGCTAGCATGCCACCCTGGGGAGATGGCACCTGTGGTGGCTGCTGTGAGTCTGGCTTCATCTCCGCCACAGGGAGCCAGGAATGTCTAGTAAGGTTCCCTCCACAGGTTTCCAAAGTCTTCTTGGACCTTGATAGCATGCTGCTTGCTGGCCGGGCCCTCTTTAGCTTAGGAGGAGCCAGCTTGAGAGGAGCTGTGGGCAAGTTCTTCAAGCCTTTGATGTTAAACAAGTCCATGTAATCCACAAAGCGCAGGATGCAGTCCAGTAGGGATTGCTGTTCCCGGAAGAGGCTTGACACTTTGCTGGTGACGACGTCAAGGCTGTCCATGTAGGTGTTACATGCATGCAGGCCCTTCCTGACGTGCATGTACCACAGCAGTTCACAGGAGAACCAGTGGGCCTGCAGGAAGCTGAAGAGCTCCTCATCCAGCAGGGCTTGGGACATGTGAGAGAGATTTTGCAGGCTGGCCTCTGAAGTGACAAACACAGCCTCCCGCAGGGCTTCCTTCATGAGCCTTTTAAAGGATGCATTTGCTGAACTACGATGCAACTTTTTCTCCAAGAGCCGGGTGGTGTGGTATATGGAAAGGAGGATGCGGGCAGCAGGAAAGATCTCCTGCAGGATGGCCCGGTGAGGGAAGGATGGGTCCACAAAGACCACCTTGACCTTGGGCCAGTCGGAGTTAAACTCTGTGAAGATGTTCAGCATCTTGGCCACAGAGGTGGCTGTCTCAGCCTTGAGGACAGCAAAGTGTACCACTCGCCCCTCTCGTTCCTTGTTCTCCACCAGGAAAGCATAGAGGATGTGGCCCTGGGCATTTTCCACCCGGTGCAGCAGGAGATTCTCTGGGAAGCGGATGAACAGGTCGCTCATCTTGCTGCTCTGGAAGCTGAGCCGGTCCAGGACTTGGCTGTTGCCCACACTGAGGGAGGCCATGGAGCCTACATCTAACCTGAGAAAGTTCTTCATCACTTTTGCTATATTGGCCAGGTCAGAAGGAGTGATGACCTCCTGCTCAGGCTTTGGGGGCACCTGAACCTTATCTAAGCAAAACGATGGTTCAATTGGGGATTTCTCAGTGTGAAGGTCTTTGTTGACTGGGGGCCACACAGGCTGGGGTTTCTGCAGACGCATTCTCTTTTGAGATTTGCCAGCAGTGTCTCCTCCAGGACTCGCAGTTTTGGAGTCACTATGAATATGCTTGGTGTTTAGTTCACTGATAAATAGTCTATCCAGTTTCTCATCATACCGCAGGGACAAGTATGCTGGGCATGTGTCTGCCTCTGCTGTTCTCTTCCTGTTTGACTGGGTCCGAATACAGACAAATTTCACCTGCACATATCTAGGGAAGGTAGAGGTTACAGTGAGAATGCTGCCGGCCACCCCCTTTCTCTTATAGGATAAGGCCCTGTAGCTAACACTCGGAGGGACTTATACTGGCTGATATGTTTCCTGGAGACCACAGGGTAGTGTAGGATGTAGGGAAGGAAGATTTAGGTTACCCTCTCAAGTCCCAAAGAATCCAGCCCTTTCTTCAAGACCCTCACCAGCTACAACTCTCCACATTTTCATCTACAGCAGCTCTAAGCCCCAACTACTTTCATTCACTGTGGCCCATTTTAGCTGCCAACAATTCAATCCAAGGCAAGATACAAGGGAAAATAGACAAGAGGCAGGCAGCAGTGTGCCCAGCTGGTTCCTCACTGTCTAAAATGTCCGCTTCATTCCAGTACTCGGAGAGCCACTGCCTGTTTCTCCAGACATCAGCGAGAAAAGCTGAGACATTAAGGAGACTGGTCTAGATCGGTGGTTTTGAGCTGAGCTCTTCAGGGCTGGGTATGTCGGGCCTCCTCTCTAAGAGGGGAAGAGCTCTGCTCATCTGTTTCATGTAAAGAAAAATGTTCACATCCTAAACGTCTGATAACCACTGGGCTAGATGATCTTTAGGGTTCTTCTAGCTTTGCCATTCTAGGTGGAAAGTGATGATTCAAAGGAGAGGGGTAATTAAATTGAATATCTGTGCTTTCTCTCTTCCTATACTCATTCTATCCATACTTCAAGGCCCAGATCAGGTCCCACCTTCTCCAGGGAGCATTTGCTGATGCCTCCAAGCAACAGTAATTGCTTCTTTCTCTGAATTCATAGCATTTATCTAAAAAGCGTAGTGGTTAAGAGCTCAGCTGCCAGCCAAAGGGTTGGCAGTTCAAATCTACCAGCTGCTCCTTGGCAACTCCACGGGGCGGTTCTACTCTATCCTATAGGGTTGCTATGAGTCGGAATCCACTCAACAGCAACTTTTTTTTTTTTTTAATCCAAAAGGCAAGGAACCCTGGTGGAGCAGTGGTTAAGCACTCATTGCAGATCAGTGGTTTGAACCCACCAGCTGCTCTGCAGGAGGAAGATGTGTCTTTCCTTAATGATTACAGCCTTGGAAACCCTATGGGGCAGTTAGTTCTACTCTGTCCTGTAGGGTTGCTATGAGTCAGAATCAGATTGATGGCAATGGGTTATCTAAAAGCCTTAGCTGAATGGCAGTATACCTAGTGGTTAACCAGTGGGGACACTGGAGGCAGACAGCCTGGATTTGAATCCTGGCTCCAGCACTCAGTAGCTGTTTAACCTGGGGCAAGTCACTTCACTTCTCTGTATACAGTTTCCTCATAGAAAAATACCAGTTGCCATGGAGTCGATTCTGACTTATGGCAACCCCATATGTGTCAGAATTGAACTGTGTTTCACTGGCTGATTTTTCAGAAGTAGATCACTAGGCCTTTCTTTCAAGGTGCCTCTGGGTGGACTTGAACCACTAACTTTTTGTTCAGCAGGCAAATGTGTTAACTGTTTGCACCACCCAGGGGCTCCATCAAAAAACAAGGCTATCTTATTATGGTTGTTGCAAGGAATAAATGAATCACAGGCATAACATTCAGCCCAGAGCCTGGTTCAGCCTCTTATTTATGCTCAATAAAGTTAGCTACTGCTATTATTATAGCTCCTGTGCCTTATGACATTCTCATGGGTTTTCTTTTTTTCCTGCTACTTAAGTTCTCAAATGTTTATGCAGTGCCTTTCCAATTGGATGGGGAAGTCTTCAAGTGCTAGGACTGAGAGATTCCTCACTGTATTCCAATGCTTAACCCAATGCTATTCTTTCATCAGATGCTGATCAATGACTTCCTGGATGAATGAATCACTGGTGGGTGGGACAGGTCACACCCTTGCCTCCTCAGGGAGGGTTCCAACCCAGAGACCAAACATGAAAACCAAACCCATTGCCTTTGACTCCGTTCCCACCCACAGCAACCTCAAGTGTGACAGAGTAGATTTGCCCCATGGGGCTTTCTTGGCTGTAATCTTTATGAAAGCAGGTTGCCAGGCCTTTCTTCAGCAGCATCGCTGGGTAGGTTCGCACATCAACCTTTAGGTGAGTAGGTGAGTTCAAATCATTTGTGTCACCCAAAGACCACGGGAGGGGGAAAAGATCTCAGCTTCTGGCATGACACAGCACAACCAGGGAACCTCGCCTATCCTTTTCCAAACACTAATCCAGCTGGTCCTGTTTGCCCATCCTGTGGGGCAAGCTTAGAAAAACAGGATATGTCAGGCCCACTAATGACAGGGTGGAGGGGCCTGGGGCTGAGGATGTCCCTACCTGTTGTGTACACAGTGCGGGGGTAGTGCCACCATCCTCAGCTCAGGGCCAGGAAGGGGCTGGAGCAGTCCAGTAGTATGGCAAGGCCAGTGAGGGGTGACCACCACGGGGCCTCTGCCTATCGCTCCAGCGGCATTTCCCACCCCTCACCCATCTTGTTCTTTAGGCCCTAGAAAGACAAACTGCCCACCGCTTCCTGTGTTCACTATGCTGTGTCTCCCCTTTGTGACTTTGCTCATGTTTGTCCCTCTGTCTGGAGAGCCTTTTCCACCTTTCTTCTTCTCAAAGTTTACTCATCCTTCAAGACCACATGCAACCATCATCTTTTCTAGAAGCCTCCCCCAGCCCATAGATTGGGTTCTACTCTTCTGTTCTCTCAACATCTTAGCATAACTCTAGCTCATCAAATTATACTGACTTTATGTGCACTCAGAGTGGTGCAGTGGTTAAGTGCTCAGCCGTTAACTGAAAGGTTGGCAGTTCAAACCCACAGCTGCTCCATGGAAGAAAGATGTGGCAGTCTGCTTCCGTAAAGATTACAGCCTTGGAAACCCTATGGGGCAGTTCTATCCTGTCCCATAGGGTCACTATGAGTCGGAATTCGACTGGACGGCAGGGGATTTGGTTTTGGTATGTGCACTTGGTGAATGTTCGTTGAGCTCCTCCAAAGAAAGATAGCGGTGACTGCCAACAAATAGTTCTTTTAACCATTCCTGGCTCCATTAATGACCACACCTTTCAGTGTGGGAACCTTGGCATTCTTTTTAATTCCCAAGACTTTTTAATTCTTTTCCTACCACTACTACATGTGTTGAGGATTTATTACACATACACGCCAGCAATACTAAGCTGTTAACATGCATCATTTTTATACTAGGAAAGGAGTGCTATTATCACTCACGTTTTACAGATGGGAAACAGGCTTAAAGAAGCTCAGTAATGTCCTCAAGGATGAGGCGTTGGGATTTGTTGTTCCAGCTGAGACTGGAGGATCTGGCATTTACATTAAGTCGGCTTGGCTATAGTCTGAGTAATTAACCATTATGTTTCCTTTCTACCTTAAAAATATTTCTCAGATTTGACTCTTTTCTTTGAATTCCCATTTTTATCCTCCTCACCTTGGAAGGTTTCAACAATTTCCTTAATGGTCACTAAATACATTGTCCTCGTTGGCATCATGCATTTCATACTTAATAGACACTAGGTTAAGCTTCTGTTATTTTCTTCTGCTTCCTTCATTATTCTGGATTGAGATACAATTTACGTACAGTGAAGCACACAAATCTTTTGTAAAAATTCACCAAGTGCTGTCGTTATTTCAATCTATACTTATTTCTGTTTCCCTGGTAAAAGCATAGATTCGCTTCAAGACAGGGACAAGGTATTATTCTTTCTGAATCTCCCTTGTTGTTGTTAGGTGCCATCAAGCTGGCACCAACTCATAGCAACCTTATGTATAATGCAACAAAACATTCTGTTACATTTAAGTGTTTATATCTAAGAGGAAGGAGCCCTGGTGGCACAACGGTTAAGCACTTGGCTGCCAACCGAAAGGTCGGTGCTTTGAACCCACCAGCCACTCCATGGTAGAAAAGACCTGGCCTTATGCTCCTGTAAAGATTATAGCCTAGGAAACCCTATGGGGCAGTTCTACTCTGTCCTATAGAGTTGCTATGAGTTGGAATAGACTTGATGGTATAAAACAACAGTATCTAAGAGTGCTCAGCCACAACATGGAGGAAGGGAAAGTCAGTCAGTCTTCCTTCCTTCCAATCTACACGTTAGGCATCCGTACTCCCCTACTGGACTGTAACCCCAGAAGACAAGGGCCTGCTGGTGCCGCCACTGTACTCCCAGTGTCTGGCACTGTACCTGGTACATACATATAGGGTTGCTATGAGCTGGAATCAACTCGACGGCAACAGGTTCTTACATACACTGAATGAACGTTAAATGAGTGAATGTATGACATAGAAAGTTCTTTCTACAACACAAGCAGACAGCTTGGCTACTCTCAGCCAAGCACCATTGGCTATTACTGTTACTGGCACTATTCCTATTACTTTGAATAAGTTCTTTATTTCATTTCAAACATTTACTGAGTCAAGAAATCAAACGACGTAATAGAGGGTCCCAGATATGCTGGAGAAAAATGCAGAACAAAATTCTAACTCAAAAAAAAAAAAAAAAAAGAAGAAGACCAGACTTACTGGTCTGACAAAGACTGGAAAAAAAACCCAAGAGTATGGCCCCCAGACACACTTTTAGCTCAGTAATGAAGTCACTCTTGAGGTTCACCCTTCAGCCAAAGATTAGACAGGGCCATAAAACAAAACGAGACTAAACGGGCACACTAGCCCAGGGGCAAAGACGAAAGGGCAGGAGGTGACAGGAAAGCTGGCAATAGGGAACCTAAGGTCGAGAAGGGGAGGGTGTTGACATGTCGTGTGGTTGGCAACCAATGTCACAAAACAATATGTGTATTAACTGTTTAATGAAAAGCTAGTTTGCTCTGTAAACCTTCATGTATAGTACAGTTTAAAAAAAAGAAAGAAAGAAAAGGCTAGGATCAGCTGGCAAATCTTTGTAAAGAAGACAAGATTTTGATTCATTCAACAAATATTTATTGAGTGCTCACTGTTGGTCAGACATCAATGAGGCTGAGAATATAGTGGGGTTCAAGCATGGGG